CAAAAAAAAAATTATATATATATATATATATATATATATATATATATATATATATATATATATATATATAATCTCCAAGAAACACCTGCTCATCTTGAGAAGGAAAATGCTATCCAAAAAGAATTGGTCACATATGCCTTTTGCCCCTTTAACCTACTATCATAATTTGAACTTGTGACATTCATGTATTTGCTTCTTGAAAACAAGGCCCATATTTCATCTGCCACAGAGCCATGGAAAGTGCTTAGAGAATGTTAGTTTAAGCCAGACCCAATGACACATACCTGTAATCCAGATTCAAGTTCAAAGCCAGCCTCAGCAATTTACCGAGGCACCTTAATAAATTTATTGAGACCCTGTCTCAAAAATATGTGTGTGAATATGTGTGTGTGTGTGTGAATATGTGTGTGTGTGTGTGTGTATAGCTGGGATGTGACTCAGTGGTTAAATGACCCTGGGTTCAAACTCCAATACCAAAAAATAAAATATTACTTGAATGAATACGTGAGAGAATAGGAAAAACCCATTTTGGAGCCACAAAGAGGATTGGAGATGCTGTCCATGGGGGAAGGAGGTGCTGGACACCAAACCTGGGGCCTCACACATACTAGGCAAGCACTCTACCACTAAGTGTCATCCCCAACCGCACTGGGGGCTTTTCTGGAGGAAAATACTTTACTCAGGATGCACACCTTCACAATGACAAGTTCTGAGCTGGGCTGTATGTATGTGTGTACGCCCAGGTCTCCTAGGAAATGCCTCCCCCGCCGTGTGTGTGTGTGTGTGTGTGTGTGTGTGTGTTACTGGGGATCAAATCCAGGGGCCAGGGGCACTCTACCACTAAACTACATCCTCAGCCCTTTTATTTTTTATTTTGAGGCAGGGTCTAAGTTACTGAGGCTGGCCTGGTACTTGTGATCCTTCTGCCTCGGTCTCCCAAGTCACTAGGATTATAAGCATGTGCCACTGCACACAGCTTTTAAAATATGCCCTTAAAGTCTTGCCAACTCCTGAAGCTGAGGCAGAAAGATTACAAGTTTGAAGCCCAAATTAGTGAGACCCTGTCTCAAAAAATTAAAGGGCTAGGGGCTGTGGCTCAGAAGTAGAATTCTTGCTGAGCATGCATAAGGCCCTGAGTTCAATTCTCAGCACTGCAAAAAAATAAAAATAAAAAGGATTGGGGATATAGCCCAGTAGTAAAGAGCCGTGGGCCTTAATTCTCAATACCAAAAAAAGATGCCTTTGGAGACTGGGAATAGTCAATATTAGAGTGCTTGCCTAGCAATGCATAAGGCCCTGGATTTGATCCTCTGTATAGTGGGGACAGGAACAGGAGCAGGGGAGACTTTGATTCTGAATTCTATGGATGAGGATACAGAGACTCAGAGATAAGTTAATAGTCCAAAAGATATGCTAATAGAAGACAGCAGTAGGGTTCAAACCCAGTTCTTCCCAGCTACATAGCTTGCATTCTTTCAGCCCTGTCTACTTGTTAGCTGGGCGAGACACAAACATGAACTCCACAGCCAAGTCTTTTTTTTTTTTTTCTTTCTTTCTTTTCTTAAACTAGAGTTTGAACCCAGGAGCGCTTAACCATTAAGCCATATTCCTAGCCCTTTTTATTTTTTATTTTGAGAGAAATAAAAAATAAACTTAGTGTCTCACTAAGTTGCTTAGGGCCTCAGTAAGTTGCTGAGGCTGGCTTTGAACTTATGATCCTCCTGCCTCAGCCTCTCAGGTCGCTGGGATTATAGGCATATGCCATCGCACTCAGCCATAGCTGATTCTTAAAACCAGTTCAGCTCCTTATCCAAAATCTGTTTTCACCTCCTACAACAGCTGCTTTTCAACTCCAACACTGCTAATTCCTCTCTGTAAGTCTAGATCAGGATCAAACTCTGCTCTAAACTTCACTGGGCTTGCTCTATCCAGAGTCATCATGAAAGAACCTGTTTATTCTCCACTAACTCCCTGCAACAAGCCCTGATAACTATCACTTGTTTCTGGAAGTGGTGAAGGCCAAAGTGGGAGAGGAATTAAGTAACTCAGATTTGAGAAAGGCAATCTGCTCTTTTCTCCCCTTTCCCCACACTGTGGGCAGAACCCAGGGGCACTCTACCACTCAGCAATAACCCCAGACCTTTAATTTTTATTTTGATACAAGTTCTCCCCTTTCCCCACACTGTGGGCAGAACCCAGGGGCACTCTACCACTGAGCAATATCCCCAGACCTTTAATTTTTATTTTGATACAAGTTCTCGCTAAATTGCTCAGGCTGTCCTCACACTGCCTCAGTCTCTCAAACAGCCAGGATTGTAGGCAAGAGCCACTGGCGCCTGGCTGCTCTCTCTTTATGGCGGTGCTGGAGTTGGTACTCAGGGTCTCCTGTATTACACTAGGCAAGCACTGCACCTTTGGGCTACACCCCCAGATCTGAGAACTGCTCTTTAGTCCCACAGAAAACAGAGGACAACTCCTACTGAAGCAGTAGTCCACAGCTCCTGCAACAGCTGGACCCTGTGCTGTGGTTAGACACAAAAAAAAAACTCCTAAGGAATGAGGAGAGATGATAGCTTGAAAGAAAAAGTGTTGCTATTGGTCTCTTCCTTGGTGGGGCATTAATCTGAATTAGAGGCCTAACTCAACTCACATATGATGCTCATTTGTAAAGTATCCTCCTGGTCCTGGGGCCGAAGAGCTCCCCGGCCTTAGAGGCACAAGGAATTGGCACCAGAGCAGCCGAAAGGGTAAGGGAGGGGGAGGGAGGAAGGAAGGAATAAGGAAAGGAGGGAAGAGGAGAAAACAAGGGAGGGACAGTACGCCCGGTCTCCTAGGAAATGCCTCCCGGCCCCGCCCCCATCTAGAGGCAATTGTGATGTCACATGTGGAAGCCACAGACGCCTTCCCGCCTTTAAGGTCAATGGAACCGCTCGCCCCAGCTCCTGGGTGGGCAATGGACCTTGGGCTCCAGCTAAACCGAGCGCCTCAAGAGCGGCGGCCTGGGCCTGGGGTTTCAGTGCACCCGTACCTTCCAACCTTGGCTCCCGCCAATTCCGCTAGCAAGCCTCTAGGGCCTTAGGATCATTGGTTCACGGCTCGACGTGAGCCCGCCCCGACTCTAACTCCGCCCCAGTCCAGGCTTTGGCCCCGCCTCCCTCGTCAAGACCCAACCTCCGGTTCTATACCTTCTTAGGGTCCTCAAGCCAGCCCCTGAGGCACGTCCTGATCTTCTCCCCGCACCTCCTTACCGCTGCTCTCGCTTTTGTCCCAGGCGTGGGTCTCGCAGCCAGTCTTTCCCTCAGTCCATCTTTCAATTGTCAGTGTCGTCCTGACCCACATCGCTCTCAGCTTGGTTCTTCCACGGGACTCTTGCTTGTGGAGTCCAACCTCGAACCTCAGCTTGGCGGAACCCTCTGTCCAGTCGTAAGCTCCAGTCTCAGCTTTGCCCCAGTTCAGGCCCTAACTCCGCCTCATGCTTGCCCAGTCCCCCCGCCCGCCTCCCCCCTCCCGGCCTTTGGCTGCGTTGTCTTCCCCGCCGGGGTCTAAGCGTCAGCCGCGTTCTTCATCCGGGGCCTCCGCTCCTCCCAGACACCTCTTTGTCACACCTTTAACGCCAGTTACCCACCCCCCAGCCAACCCCTTACCTCAGGCCTTTACCTTACAGACCCAGCCCTCAATCCCACCCCTAGTTTCTCCAGACCCAGACTTTAGCGCCGCCCGAGACCGTAGCCCAGCTCTTGGCCCCGACCCAGCCATTCTCGGAACCTCACCCTCCCGCCCCTCCCAGCCCATGAGAGCCCAGCCGCAGCCCTTAGCCCCGCCCCTGCCCGCCTGCCTCAGAGCACCCAGTTCTCCCCGCTGGCATCCTGGATTCTCCCGGGTCGCTCCGGCTCGGGCAGGAGGCAGGCTCTCCCTGCCAAAGACTCTTGGAGGACATGATGGCTCCCATCCTCCCTATGGCAGCCGAACCTCAGGGTCACTCAGCTCGGCCACCCCAGGTCCACCCCTCAATGGTTCCTCCCAGCTGCGGTGGAGAACCAGGTCTTACCAAACTGACCAATAAAGAGTTGGCTTGTATTCCAGTCTTTTCTGGTCCTGAGAGTAGGACAGGCTGCATTCATGGTAACTTTAACCAAGTAACACATCCTTACATACATTACACAGTATACATGTTTATCACACACAGCAACTCAGAAAATCCACTCGCCACACACAAACCTTACACAACATGCACACACCCCTCATACATTGTACAGAACACGAAATTCCCCCCACCCCACACAGCATAAACAGCGGGCTTTGCGCACAGAGTTAACAGACTTTGTGCAAGGCAAGGCTGAGGAGCCCAGTGTTGTGTGAGAAAAACCAATTATAGTCCAGTGTGCAGATCAGAGTTGCCTCAGACATTCCACACACCACACCTCCTAGTTTCTTCGGGCACCATCTTCCAAAGCCACAGTGTGCCTCAAAGGGCAGAGAGGATGGGAAAAGATGGTATTTAAACCTTTTCTTCCGGCCAGGGTCATCCTCCAGACCCAAGTCCTGAGTGGGTAGGGCAGTTGCCCAAGTTCTCCTCACTGTAGTTCTAGAGTCTAGGACCAGCAGGGAAGGGGAAGCAGGAAGAAGGAGGTGTGTGAGAACAGCCAACCCTTCCTGGAGAGTGTAGCTGGGTGGAAATGGAACGAGCATGCTGAATGGGAAACAATCTGTTTGAATCATCCTCCTTGGCCTTTCAGGATGACACTAGTCCTCATGTCCCCCTTTGTTGGCCTGGATATCTGAAATACTCTCAGCCAATCTGACTTGAGGTCAGATGTCAACAGAGAGCCAGGGTCTTGGTCACTCTTCCCCATATATAGTTTTTTTGTTAGTTTTGTATCATGGATTGAACTGGGGGGGGGGGGCAGGTGCTCAACTCCTTAGCCACATCTCCAACCCTTTTTATTTTTTGAGATAAGGCCTTGCTAAATTGCTGAGGCTGCTTAGGGCCTCACTAAGGTGTTGGGTAAGTTGTTGAAACTAGCTTTGAACTTGTGCTTCTCCTGCTTCAGTCTCCAGAGTCACAGGGATTACATGCAATGTGCTGGTGGCCATCTCCCATATAATAACAGTTTATAGTTAGATAGGCCTGGTAGCACAAGCCTGTAATCCCAGCTACTGGAGAGATTGAGGCTGATCTGAGGCAGAAGAATCAAGAGTTCAAGGCCAGCTGAGCCTGGTGGCATATTCCTATAATCCCAGTGGCTCCAGAGGTTGAGGCAGGAGGATTGCAACTTCAAATCCAGACTCAACAAAAGTGAGGCACTAAGCAACTCAGTGAGACCCTGTGTCTAAATAAAATACAAAATAGGGCTGGGGATGTGGCTCAGTGGTCAAGAGTTCAATCCCCAGTACCAAACAAACAAAAAAAAAGAAATAAAGAGTTGAAGGCCAGCCTGGGCAACTTAGTGAATCTCCATCTCAAAATAAAGAGGACTGGTTCAATGGTAGAGCACTTACCTCACCTACCTAGCATGCACTAGGCCCTGAGTTTGATCCCCAGTACAGGGGGGTTAGGGGACAAGTTAATAATTAAGATTTTGGAGTTCTTTCTATGTCTATGTTAGTGATTTATTCACATCACATCATGAATTCAGCATTATTAACCCCACTTTATAAGGTAAGAAAATTGAAGCACAGAGGATGATTTGCCTGTGCTTTCATCATTAGTGAAAGTGGAAGCAAGAATTCAAACACAAGACAGGCAACACACATACATACACACACACACACACACACACACACACACCAATCCAATGATGGAAATTTGGAATGGGAGGCATTAGGGGAGACAGAATTCTCAAAGCCAGGAAAGAATTCTCAAAGCCAGCCATAACTTATATAGTAAGAGTCTAGTCAGTTCCCCAAATCTTTTATATGAGGTCTCAGCCTACCTAAGCCCTGAATCCTACCTAGGGTTGACCAGAATTCCCATAGGGGACTCTAGTCCCCAGTGACTATATAGCTTGGCTCATTCTACATTGTGCATCACCAGCAAAGGACTCAGCCTCCAAAATGCTAATAACAAAGAGATTTTAATACATAAGGCACAGTATAAGTCTGAAATCATTAGGCATCCTCATACCCAAAGGGCCCAGCAGGCAGAGCAAAAGCAGCAGAGATGCTGCCTCACTTCCCACTGCTGGACACCCTGGAGAGCCCCCAGAAGAGTAAGGGGATCCAGTCTTTGGCATGGTGCCTGGGGAACAGGTAGTAACTAGCATGGTCCCAGCTACCCCTCTGGAGGGGTACTGCCACTAAGGGGCAGCTCTTTGGTCTAGAGAAAGTTTGTGTGAATGTCCAGGGGTCAAGCTCTGTGGGTCAGGGGGATACAATGCCCCAGGGATGGGCAGTCGCTGGATAGTCTCCTCATCCCTCAGGGACAACATGTGGCCTTCTTTTTGCTGGCAGTTAGGTAGAGGTTGCTGTCATCACTATTGATACCTAAAGAAGGATGAGAAATATGTGAAGTAGGGATTGCAGTTCCCCTGGCTCTCTGCCACCCTCAACCAGGTGGACACTCACGGACAATATCTCCAATGCGCCGAGCCCCAGATTTCTCCAGCTCAGCCAGCACATTGGCCTCAAATGTCAATGCTGCCACACGAAAGAAGAATTCTCGGACATTCTCACCTGACATGGAAGCAGATGGGTGCTTAGTGGCAGTGCCAGGTCTGAGGCATTGGGCACAGCTAGAGGTATATGAGTGAGAGGACAGGTGGGCAGGAATATAGAAAGCCTGAAGCCTCCACTCACCAGTGAGAGATGAGACTGCCCAGTATTCAGCCTTAATCTCTTGGGCCACCTTGAGAGCATCTTTCTCCATTAGTGTATACTGAGCAGAAGTCTGCAGGAAGGTTAGAGTTAGATGTGGGGGGTCCCATCACCAAGTTGGGAAGTCCCCCCACTAGCACACTCACACTCAAGTCCTTCTTGGAACCCACGAGGAACAGAAGCACACTGGAGGGGTCATTCTCCTTGAGCGCATCAGCAAGCCACTGCCTGCCACAGATGGTGGACAGGAATGGGGAATGAGTGAGCCTGACAGATTCCTCCCACCAATATATTTATATGCCTAATTTATTTCTCTGATCCTAGATGCATTCTCTCTGCCCCTCCAATACCCACTTGTTCTGGGGATTGAACCTGGGGTCTTGCCTGTGCTAGGCAAGTGCCCTGCCACTAAATTATACCTTCAGCCCCCCCTAGATGCATTCTTCTTCTCCTCTGACCACCCTCCCTTCCCCGATCCTCCCATTGTGTTCTAGCATCCTCACATACTTGGTATGTTCCAGGGACGCCACATCATTTAGGTTGAAGACAATGATGATGGCTGGAAGAATGGCAGAAACAATCCCAGGTTGACAAGAAAGACACCACTGGATCAATCCCCCCACCTTCCACACTCTAGATCAGATTCTAGGAGCACTCTTAGACCCACCTGCCCCATATGGCCCAGTCCCTACCTTGAGCTCCACGGTAGTAGGTTGAGGCAATGCATTTGAACCTCTCCTGACCGGCAGTGTCCCAACTGGAGGAAGAGCAGAACCCAGGAATGTGGGGGCATGGTTATAGGTGCTGGGGCAAGATAGCTGGAAAGGATGAAGGAATTACTCACAGCTGGAGACTGAAGGGGACACCCAACACTTCAAATCGTTCCATCTCAAAGTCCACTCCAATTGTAGCTTTGTAATTCTTATCAAAGGTGTCTTTACAGAACCTGAGGAAACATCCAATGCTCTGACCTATAGCCCAGCATATCTTACTAGGCGTGACTCCACCCTGCCCAGCACTCTTACCTATTAATAAGGCAAGTCTTCCCCACTGACAGGTCCCCCACCACAATGACCTTGGAGATCTTAAATCTGCTGAACACAAGAGTGAACAGGATGAGTGAACACCAGTTTTTTACCCTAACGGGTTTGTTCCTGTTCTGTTATTTTAATAAGGATTAAACCTAGGACCTTGTACATGCTAGGCATGCTCTCTACCATAGAGCTACACCCCCAACACTGAGTAGCCATGTGACTTTGGACAAGTTACTTAAGCCCCTTTGAGCCTCAATTTCAACACTGATTAGTGGAGATTTAACATATATTTTAATGGGTTGTCATGAAGGTTAAAATGAGATTTATGTCATATATTCTAGGGAATGTCTACATCTTCTCCCCATTTTAACATCTCTTAAATCAGAATCCATCTTTAGTGGTAGTGTTTTCTATTTGATAAAAGACAGTAGCAACTGTTGGGCATGTAGCACATGCCTGTAATCCCAGTGGCTCTGGAGGCTAAGGCAGGGGGATTGAAAGTTGGAGGCCAGGGCTGGGGTTGTGGCTTAGTGGTAGAGCGCTTGCCTAGCATGCATGAAGCACTGGGTTCAATCCCCAGCACCATAATAAAGGTACTGTGTCGATCTATCCATCTACAACTAAAACTATTTTTTTAATTTTTCTTAGTTATACAAGG